TGCTTGGAAGTCATAAAAATCTGAAACATCTATTCTGTACATTTTTTATAAAATAAAAAAAATATTTTTTTTATTCTTGACTTTGTTGTTGCATTTGTTGCATTTGTTGCATTTGTTGTTCTTGAGCTATTTGTTGTTGAAGTTGTTCTTGTAATACAATACTTTCACCAGTTGCATCTTCCAATTCGAAACTTTCTGCCGTCATTGACAAATACATAGGACATAAAAGTTTTACAGGAACAAAGTTTGCGTCAACTAATGTCAACGTTATACTTGCCAAAGTGTTTGAGTTCACTAAGGTTGAAAATTCTGCATTCGAATGAACAATAGGCAAACCAGCAGAGAAAGTATTGTTTATACGCATAAGTATCTTTTGGTCATAATAGTTTCTGTCGACATTCGAATAACACTTTGAACCTAAGTTTGAAACAATATATAAGATTGGTGTGCTTAATGTCAATGGAATAGACATTCCTTGTATGACACCTTTTCCTGTTATAGGAAACTGTTGGTAGTAAAAACCAGAAATAAGTTTTGTATTATAGCTCATATCGTTTATAGTAAACTCAGTCGGACATCCAAACATAATGAAACCTGCTCTAGTTGCAGCACATGTTACACCCGTACTTAAAGTATTAAATAAGTCAACAAAACCTGTTGGTGGTATATCTGAGTAAGTATCTTCAAAGGAGTATTTTTTACCATTCACAACAATAAAGTCTTCTGGTGTCAAAAGAGCAAAACAGGCTTTAGTCGTCATTGTGTTTAAGGTTAGTTTACAATATCGTCCTTGAGGACTTTGTAAGTTTGTTGTTATAGAATTATATGACTCAGGGTTTTTAGTCGTAATAGTATAAACCATTATATCTTCTGCCATTTATATATATTTAAAAGTTTTTCTGAAAGTGGAGAAGAACTTCATCTAAACTTTCACATGGCGTTTCTTGAAGTTCTCTGTCTAAGAAGTTCAAATATTTTGTAAAGACATAGAACTTTCCTTTGTCTACACGAACAAACAAAACAGGGTCTTTCATATCGTTCAAAAGTGTGTAAAGTCCTTTACATGAAATAAAGTCTATATTATTTTTTTCAAAATCTTTCAAGAAGTTTTGACATTTTTACTTAGCAAATAAATTTTAATGAAATGTTGTGGTCGTCAAATATTTTTATGACGTCTGGGAAACTATACTTTAAGTTCAACGTTTCACCTCCTTTCATAACGTATATCTTGTCAATGACATTATATGAAACACCACAGCAACTAATGTCGGGTTCTATTTCTTTGATGTTTATATCGTCTGCCTCTGTCAAAAGTTTCAATAGTTCTTTCAAAACTTCATGAGGTGCAATGACATATGAGTTCACTTTTACAGGGTTGTGTTCGACCAAGTTTAACATTATACCTAAAGCTTGACAAATCTTCTCCTGAGTTTGAAGTTTGTCTTTCAGTTGTTGGTAGTCGTTTCGAATATCTGCAACAGAACTTAAGTCTCTGCTAACTTCAGGATATGTTGGTTGTTCTTTTACAGGAACAATTGTTATACCATCTTCGTCTTCGTATGGTTTCCCCACTTCAACATCTCTGTCTTTGACATTGACAACAACACTTTGACTGTTTGTTTGAGTTGGTGAATTTAACTTCACATCTGCCACCGCCATTAAACCTTTTGAAACACTTACGCTTCTATTTTTCGGAAATGACATTTTACTTAGAATAAAAAGATGGACGTATTCGAGTATCTCTTCGAATTGAAGCAGAACAAAGTTTACACACACAAACAATACAAATACATTGACAGAATAGTTCTTTACACAAACAATGGAAAATGTTATAGAATAGCAATATTTGCTGAACCAAAATATTTCCATAAAGCAAAGAAAGTTGGTATAACTGAAATGGTGAAAGTTCTTGAAGCAGACAAAAATATAACTTCAAAACTTACAGATATTTCTAAAGGTAAGTTTATCTTACAATATTATGTCAAAACTGGCGTACTGTCAATATTTGACGGAGAGAAGTCAGTTCAAGAACAACTTACTGACCTGCTGCCAAAATCTGCTCGATGGAAGCTGTCGTTATGCCAATCTGAGGAGCCCCAGCAGGTTTCTCACGAACGAATCTTCAAAAGAGCATCTTCCGTGAAAAGTGCTATTGGTTTTGTAAACTTCTTTGCTCTCAGTTCATCTGGACCGTCTCTGTCACCAGTATATTGTATTTGTACAGTACCAACAGTTGAAATACCACCCATAAAGTCTTCTGAGTCAGCAAATGGAATGCCAAGCCAAAAGTTTGAACGGTCTCCATTTGTATATTGAGTTTTTTGACCTCCTGTATGAGTCCATACTTTCACATATGGCATAGTAGAACTTTGCATTTCAGGGTTAATGGTTGTTGTGAAGTTGTTGTTAAAGTTCATAGCATCTAATGTCAAGTTGTATGACCTCATATCCTCAACTGTAGAATATTCTTCTCTTGGATAATATTTGCCATCTATGTTTATATGATATTTAATACCGGGGTTGTAGAAACAAGAATAGTCATTTATAGTTCGTCTGAACAGTACAAACATAGTATCTGCATGTTTCATTGCAGTTGTTAAAGCAATATCTGTTCTTGCACCTGGGTCAGCACTTTGGTTTCCAACTTCACCTGCAAAGTCTTTGACAGATATTTGGTGTATAGGGAACATAAGTGGAACTGCAATATATTTGGCAGCTAAAGCATTTGAAATATCTGGGTCCAACATATAGACTGCAAGTCTGCTTTCTATTCTCTTGCATTCAAACTTTTCGCATGTGAACTTAACTGGGTCCCAAGCAGTTCCAGCAGCATTGAAATAATAGTTTACTTCATTGTTGAAGTTTGAGAAACCAAAGTCTAAGTCAACTTTGTCTTTGCAAAATTCGGCGAATGACGTTCGATTTGTTCCCTTTACGTCTGTAATAGTGAATGGGTCTTGTGTTGGTGCAATGACTAAGTTATTTTTGCTTGGAGTAAGTTCAATAGAAATTTTTCCTGCCCAGTTTGGCAAGTATCTTAAAAACCTGAAGATGAGGAAAGATGACAAAGGAACTCTAAGTTTCAGTTTTACTTTGGTTACTGCTGCTGCAGTTTGTCCAGAAAGGTTAACATAAACTCCTGGAACGTTAGGGTCAAGTCTTCTTATTTTCTCAATATTTGCATACTGGTCTGTTTGTTCTCTAGCTTGTGGTTGTACTGAGTTTCTCAAAGCGAACCATTCATAGTTTGCCCATGTTACTGTTTGAACTAAGTCAGAGTTAGAATATATCTTATATCCCATGAAAACTTCTGGAGCATATTGGTATCCGACATAGAAAATTCCATTGCAACCTTTCTTGTCAGACAACTTGGCAGAAGGTTTTATTTCAATGTCTTGTTCCACGTATAAGAATGAGTTGTCAATAGAAATAATATGAAACCTGTCGCAAGCAATATCTACTGTTGTTGAAGAACCTTCTCCAAACTCACCTACGTTTCCATAAGAAACAGCAGTTGTATATTCGTAAGTTCCAGGAACTATTTCTGACCTTCTAATGGCATTGTCGCATTCGTTATACCATTCGGAAACATTTCCGTTCATGGCATCCAAAACTGTTGGCGTTATATTCTGAGCGGCGTACATTTCATATGGGTAAAAATATAGAATAGTTGGATTTATGTGTCATAATAGAACCCACTCGGACCAAGCTTTACTTTCTTCCTGACTGAGTTTTTAACTCTTCTTTTTCCTTCATTGCCACTACTTTCACTAGATGAAGTTACTTCTTCACTATTTTCACTTTGTTCTACTCTTCTCTTCTTCTTTGGTGTCGCTTTTGGTAACTTGCCCTCTGCTTCAAGTTGTAGCATCTTTGCCTCATGTTCACCTAGTATGTTGTAAATTTCCCATGTCCTTTTTGCCTTTGGGCTCTGGTCGCCCATCTCAGGTAACCTATATCCTAGAAAGATTTTGTCATAGTTTGTATTTGAGTCTTCGCGTATTGTTTGCATGACTCTTTCCTGAGTTTCCGGTTCAAGCTCTTCAAATATAGCTTGTCCATATGGAATATGCTCGTTTCCAAATATATGTTTTTGTAGCCATTCTGGTTTTCTTTCCATGTTACCAATAATATCTTTTGTGAATGGGAAAGCTTTTACCCAATGTTTCAGTCTTGCGTCATTTATTTCTGTAGTTGGTTTTATTTTGTCAAGGAACATGTTTTTCAATACTAACATTTTATTTGGTACTGTCCATTTGAGTTTTCTTAAATATTCATCCCTTCTCAGTTCATTGTCTGCAAAGTAAGTTTTTATGACATTTTGTAAACTTTCGTTTGCAAGGTCATGTACAATAGGTTCTCTTCCTTCTATCTCCCTAACTTTCTTTCTAAACTCTTCACCAAATATACCATCTCTATGGTTCTGTGTAGTTCTTTGAGATAAATGTTCTAGAACGTCAGGTGTTATATTTCCATCAGCCATGTTCATTTCATACTGGTCCAAAATATCTGCATGTTTCATATCTTTCAATGGCATTAAAGCCGCGCTGAAAATACCAGCTATATCTGGTTCACCATTCACTTCCATTGCGTCTACAACTTCTTGGAATTGTGGTTGTAAGTTTATGAACCACCTATCCGGATTAGCTTTATGACCCCATCTCATTGTAGTTCCATAGTCTGCAGAAACAAAAGTAGGTTTGTTTCCATATTGGTTAGGTTCTGAATGAACTTTAAACAATGTTTCATTTCTATATGTTTTGTTGAAATTTAACCTTTTATTTTCACCGAGTTCAGCCAAAGATTGAACGTTATATGGTCGTAAGTAAAAAGGGTTATTGTATTTGCGTACATTTTCTTTCAGTTCTTCCATTCTATGCTGAATATTTTCATCTGATGTTGGAGTCTTTTGTATGTCGGCGAACATTTTTCGATATTCTTCTACTATGTCAGCCGAATTTTTCTTAGACTCTTGGAAAGATTCCATATTCTCCGCATACTCTTGTTGAGGGTCAAGATTTTTCGGCTGTTCCAAATCTTCATCTAGTTCTGTGAAGTTAGTTTCCAAAGGAGGGACTTGTTCGTTTCCTTCAGGCTCTTCTAGCTGTTGTTGCTGAACTATTTCTTCCATGTCTGGTTGTATCTGAACTTCTTCCTGTGGAGTTTCTTGTACCTCATCTGCTGGCATTTCATATATTCCGAGACCGTTTTTAAAAAGTTCCCTATTTAAGCCATCCGCATTCATAAACCTTTCTTCTTTCGTTCCGTCTCTATTTTTTACGCGTTTCATGAAGATAGTTGAATTATCATTTATCTCTGACACCAAATATCTCGGAGTAAATTCATCCATGTCATTTGGATGATATGCTATTAAATCATATCCCTTAGCGAGCTTGTATTTTCCAGGTTTGAAATTATATCCCATTTGGTGCTGAACCATAAAGCTAAATAGGTTCGGGTCAGTATTTCCTTCCTTGAACTTTCTAATAGCTTCTTTATATCTGTCACTAAAGTCAAGAGTATCTGGGTAACCATAGTCTTCCTTAAGCATTTTTAAGAATTCTTGGTTTCCTTGTTCTCTACTTCTTTTATGTCCTTGCTCTGTTTGTGGTTGTTGTACAGGGTTTTGAACTGTTGGTTGCTGTGCAGTGTTTTGAACTGTTGGTTGTGGTGCTGGATTTTGAACTGTTGGTTGTGGTGCTGGATTTTGAACTGTTGGTTGTGGTGCAGTGTTTTGAACTGTTGGTTTTGGTGCATGCCTGTGTCTGTGTCCATGTGACGATGTAAATGTTTTAGGTAGTCCTGGTGCAGGTGCTTCTCTTGGAGGGTTTGGTGGTATATAAGTTCCACCAGCTGGCACATATGTTCCATCTGCAGCATAATGTCCTACCTGACTTTTCGTTTTTAAGAAAGCATTTACTAGGTCTGTTTTGGTCTGTTGTAACTCTTTTTCTTGACTTTCCACAACAGTTGCTCTAACGGCGTCATAGGCACTTTGAACTGCCTGTCTCGTTGCTGCATCTGTTATTTTCGTCATATTTTGTGCTACTTCTCTTAACTCGTTGTCGAAACCTTCAGACTTCAGTTTCTTTCCAGATGAGAAGTCGTTCACTAGTTTCACCTTACTATGAAGAGCTTCGAAGGCGTTCTTAAAGTCAGCATTCATTAAAGCTTCATTTGAACTGTCTTCATCCGCTTGTATTTTTGTCCTTATTGACCCTATAAGTTGGGCTGCTTTAGCGTTGGCTTGGGCATCTAACCAGTCATTATTAGCTTTTATATATTCTGCGCTTTTCATTGCCTTTTGCATGGCTGCGTCGTTATTTTTACTTTCTTGTGCTAAGTTTTCATACTGTACGGTTTGGTTTTGCAACTGTAAAAGTTTTTCTGCCTTTACATTTGCTTCAACTTCTTTTTTATACTCATCGCTATCCATATATGTCTTCAGGGCTTTTTGTTTTATTTCTTCATCTTTCAGTACTTTATATTGAGTAGTATGGTTTTTCAAATTTATAACATCTTGTTCCATTTTTGCTACTTCTGCTGCTTTTTCTGACACTTTTTTCGCATATTCCTCTGTACTTAGTTCTTTCAGTTGTTCTTCTTTCTTCTTTTTCTCTACGTTTAACTCATTGAGTTTCTTTGTGTGTCTGTCATATTCTAGTTTCTTTTCGTTTTCACTTATTTGTTTCTGTATGTCTATGTTTGACTTTTTGACATCTGTTATTTGATTTTTGAGTGAACTCAAATTCATTTGACTTTGAGGGTTATAAGCTGTTCCGTCTGCAGCTCCACCATAGCCTGCCATTTTCGCTAAAAGTGCCGCTCTTAAACCTCCACTCTGTGCACCAATAACTCGGTTTAAAAGCATAGGGTTGCTTGACATTTGTTGCAACATAGTGGGGTCATTCATCATTTGTTGTTGCAACTGTTGTTGTGGTGTCAGTTTTACTATTGGATGTTTCAATGCTCCCTTCCTCTTACGTATATTCTTACGTAGCTTACGTGGCATTTTAAGTGAAGTTAAAAAGCGGTTTTTGACAGATGTTTATATGACACTATTTGTTCAGCACAAAAAACTACTCGGTCAAAGTGTTGTCAGTTTTGTAAAATAACCGTCCTATCTCATTCTATAAGGGAGAAAAGGCTTCTCAAAGTATACTTCCGTGGAACGCCTGTAACTTTTCCTGTAGCGACGATAGACCCTTACTTGTCCGGACAAAGTTATACTAAACATCTTCAGGGCTAGAGGGCACGAAGTGCCTGGAGGCCCCACTACCTTTTTTTTTTTTTTTTTTTGCACACACTGCACATAACTAATTACCACCTTTTGAATTAGAAATTGACAATAAAACCCCAAATTGTTAAATTAGCTACCAATAATGTAGTTTTTCTCCTAATCGCGTATTTAAAAGATTTTCGAACCAATCATTGGCAAACTGATTTATACATATCTACATTCAGTATTCACTTCAAAATAAAATTCAATAAGCATATTTATTTCAAACGCCTGATTAGATCTTTTTCAATTTGTTATGGTTTGGATTTTTTCAAAATGACAGAAGACTCCTTTTTCGGAGAGAAACAAACAACTGAAATTGTTTGATGTGCACATTTCTTTGAATGACGTATTTTTCTGACAATGAAAAAAGATACTATACATATATTCGATAATGACCCTAAAACTAGCTAAATTTTTTGGGATTGAATTGAATTATTTCTAATTAAAATACCCTGATGTTTAGAATATTAATTTAATTTAATATATATGTGTACACTACATACCTTAACCTATGCATATGCATAGTGCAAAATAAATTCTTTATTTAAACTCATAGGATATCGAAAACAAAGCCTAATAGCTAAAATTGAGGGTTTTGTCAATATCAACAACATATTCATATGGAATCTGAAACAAATTTTTATCGATATCGATCTGAATTCAAGCAAATTCCAAAATATAAACAATCTAATATATCTGTTCAGTTTGAACCATATTTACAATGTCTCATAGTCTATATTCACTATAAAAAGTGATATGAATTTGCGATTATTTTGATTTGGAATATAAATATGTACTAGTAAAATGTATCAATGCATTTTTTTTGAATTTATATTCTTCTGTTGACAGATGGTTACAGAACATATAAATCTGCCTGTCAGATTTGCCAAAATCTTAAATTCTCATTATTTTTCAGATTCAATGACTTTCCTCGGTGTCAATTAATAATCATTAAAATATTTCATTTGATTTTTTTTATCTGACTGTCAGATATATCTAATTGAGAGAAGGAAAAAATTCATTTCATTTTTTTAGATGCTACCTTTCCTTGCTTTACGCTCAGCATATAATGCTGACGACGACAATTGGAGATTCCCATTCCCAATCCCAACAAAGTGGGGTCTTTTAAGCTTCGGTGTTGATGCTAACGAAGAGGATGATGATAACTGGGGCATTGGCTTTACATACCACTCACCATGGGGCAAGTTCTACATTGGCTACCACAACTCTGCTGAAGAAGAGGAAGATGAGAACTGGAAGGCTTGGGCTGAATTAATGACAGCTATTGGCAAGTTCCGCCTTGAATATCACAACGCCGCCGAAGAAGACGACGATGACAACATGAACTTCCGCTGGAAGTGGGGCCCAGTCGACTTCGACCTTGAGCTCAACGAAGACAAGAAGGTCGCAGCTAAGAAGCCATTCCGCAGATACCCAATCAACAAGGCTATGTTACAGCGCTGGTTGAAGAAGTACTGCCGCAAGTACCCATGCCCAAAGTTATATAAGAAGAAGCTTGCTTTCCCAAAGAAACTTCTTGCTAAGAAGCCAATTGCTCCAACGAAAAATTGGAAAGATCCACCGTTTGTAGCTAAGTTACCGTGGACTACCTATAAGTATTCGAAATAAAATTGTTCATATCTCAAAGATGAGATAAGGCATGACAAATGAAAATTTTAACACTGATTTTTTATTATTACATTAAATAAGACTGTTATGCATTTTTAAATGAGCCATATTAATTAAATGCACTGAAAATATCTCATCTATTCATCTGTCTTTAAACTAATACTAGATGCAGACTATATGTATTAGTATTGCAAAGTTTATGGAAAATCAGCTAATAAATTCTCTGAAATATCAAGTATAAGATATAGATAAGTTTTATATCAAAGTTATGCACTATATCTTGAGTTTTACAAGGAACAGTTCAAAGATCATATAAGTTTACGACATTTTAAGCAATGGTTGTTGAATCATCGAATTTTAAGATACTAACTATTTTATTTCTGGTTTCTCTCTTCTGGGGATTTTAAACTTAGTATTTCGAACATGTGTAAAAATAAAGCTTGTTAGAATATATAATTTATATAAAGAAAATAATAAAACAAAATAATAATAAATTAATGTTACCAAAGTGGTGTCCAACCATGATATAATGTTGCCAAGTTATAAACATTTGTTGCATCATTGATTAATCTTCTAACTTGATCTTCAATTGATAATTCCTGGCTTCCGAAATCTCTTCCAACAATTTTGTCAGTTATTCTATCAAGGGCTGCATGAATATCAAGTTTGGACAGTTCAGACTCTTCTTCTGATTCAATTGGGACTTGTAAGAAGATATCCAACACTGTCATTATCGATTCTCTATGGGATCTTACGATTTTCATCATTTCTTCTGCAGCAATTCTGAAATTTCCTTCGATTCGTGCTGGACCAAATGCTCTGACCATCATTCTCGTCAATCTGAAAGGAACTCCTTCTGGGAACTGCTCACGAGTCTTGGCAATCTCGAAACAGTCTGAGAAGTCAATGTGAATGACATCTCCACTTGATTTGTGCATCATCAAATTACTTGGATGGCGATCGCCCAATCCCAAAATGTATCCGATGATTGACATGACTGCAGATGTTTGTGCAAATCGTGTTGTTCTCTTGATCCATTCATTTGATGATGGAGATCTCATCCAAATTGCTTTCTCGAGATCATTGTCATCCGTGCTTTGTATAGCTGTTAAAAGAGCTTCGTATCTTTGTACTGTTGTCATTTCATCAACAGAACTCGTGAAATTATTAGAAATGATGTCTTTCTCGAGATTTATGTTGATTCTTCTTTGTTTCCTGTAACTAGTAATCAACTGATTAAATGTGTCTGTGTCATCAATGAACTGAATAATTCCTGATCTGTTGGAGATCGGCGTGATTGCAAATGTATGCAATGCCAAGTTCCTCATTCTCGTGTTCGGACCGTTCTTGATGTGAAGATTCATCAATTGGAAGAACTGCATAACGCGTTGATCCAATCTCAAGTCTTCGTGTCCTTTAAGAAGAGATCTGTGTGGTTTTCCATCGCTGCCGTGGAAAACAATGATTCTTGGATGTTGTTTCGAAACAATGACTTCAAGAAGAGGATCAACAGATTCAATTGTTACTAGTTGATGTCCTGCTTTGAATGTTCCTGGCACTGCCAAAACAAAGTTCTTTAATGATCCTAGTTTTGGAGCTAAATCAGGTAATTTCAAGGCTCTGATGCTTTCAAGATGTTGTTTCATTTCTTTGTCGATTTGTTGCAAAGAATGCCTGATTCTCATCGATCTTCTATCAGGCATGAATGATTGTTTCTGATCGAATATCGAGAGGATATTATCAAGCTTTCCTGGCCTGTAGAAAGCAGCAAATCTAACTTCATCAGGAGTTACAGGATTTTCAATTTTCGGATAATACTGTTTGAAAATAACTTTTGCAGCTTCGATGTTATTATCAGCAAGTGCCAAATTGATCTGTGAAATGATAACAAGCCATCTTTCAAGCTGTGTATACGCTGCCTGGAACAAACCTTCACTTATGTCACTTGCTTGTTGAACAGCAACATGATTAACACTTCTGAATTTTGAGAGAATTTCTTTTGCGATTTCTCTTCCTCTTTCCGCGTGTTCGTTTTTGTTTTCGTCGTTGAGCATTTGGAGCAAAGGATAAAGTAATGTGTTGTAATGATGTGGCAACAAACTGGAAATGACTTCTTTTGCGAATTCTGTGTTTCTCGGTGTTCCTCTTGTTATTTGCGCGCAAAGTTGAGGAATAATCAACAAAACATATGTTGGATCCAAATTACTGATGCATCTCTTGACTTGTTGGAATACATCATCGCTCAAATTTGTTGTGAAAACAATCATAATCATCTGTATCAAATCAGAAAATGATGAATTCGGTCTCATGTTAACACTCGAAATGAATCCTAAAACAGCTTCCAAAGCGAAACTTGAATTCTTCGCAGGATCACTGTGCCATGTCTGTGAATAAGCCCAAGCCAATCTATGTTGTGCTCTGTAATATGTTGGATCTATTTTCAAGGCTTCTTGGAAATAAGGTATTGCATCTTTGACGAAAAGATGAATTTGGTCTGGAGGATGCATTCTTAATATGTAATGGCCAATCATATACTTGATTCTCGCTTGTATATGGACTTGGCTGCCTTCTAAATTGATGTTCTTCAATCTGTCAATTGCTTCTTGTTGTTGGCCACGAGAATAAATGAATCTAGCAATTGAAAATTGGATTTGAGCTGTATTCATCATTTCTGGAGTGATATTTGAAACGAAACTATCGAAAGCACCCCAATCTCTTGTTAATCTCGCTCTGGAAATCAATGTTGCGTTGTAGCTAGTGATTTCTTCTTTGTTTAAACATGGCCTTCGAACATCAAATATCTCTCTAAATTCATCATATTCAGGTCTACTTAAACTCAATCTTTCTTGCCATTGTTTTTTATTGACTGTTCCATTTGCTTGTTCCAAAACTTCATTGAAAGCCATTGCGTGAACTAATGTTTTGTACAGAAGGGATTTATCATGTTTGAATCTGTTTCTCGCTTGTTGAGTCAAGATTTCTCTTGCTTTTTCAATAATTTCAACAGCAATTTCTTTTTTGTTGCAAATCAAAGCTGAAACAGCAGCATAAAGTCTTGGAAGAGGTCCTTCATTTGTGAATCTAGACACAAGATCCAAAACTTCTTTGTGTTGGCCTTTGAAGTGCAAAGCAGTGATTAATGGTTTAATATTTCCATTCCTTGAAATAATTTTTTCTTTTTCTTCAATGACTTCATCCCAATGCATCAATTTCGCGTGGCATCTCACAATTCCATCGATATCATTTTTGTTTTTGTAGCCTTCCAAAGCATGGTTCCAATCACCAAGTTGTTCATACCATATTGGCGGAATCTCACCATTTTCAAATGTAGTAACTAATCCAAAACAATTCTCTTTCAATCCTAAATTGCTTGCAAGAAAAACCATTGAATCTTTCGCTTCAAGAGTTCCTTCATTAATATACCAACGGCTTGCGAAATAATAAGCTTGTGCATGATGTCCAAGAACTTTGCAACATTCGCATAACAGTTGGTAACTTATTCCTAAAGGAGATTCAGCTCTATCCATGAATTCAACTAAAGAAATCAACATCGATTTGCAGCCAGGAGGGAAATCACTTTTTATTGTTTTAGAAATAATTGATTGCATTTTCGCTTGGTAATTAGGAGACATTTGTTCCCAGCAACTTAAGAAGCCAATGTTAAACAATGCATCAGTAACTTGTTGTATGTGTTGTGCAATACTCGCTGTGAGATTTATACATAAAACAGGTGAGTTACTAATAACAGAAAAAACAAATCTTCTGAACCATTCTTTTCTTTGCCAAGTGTAATTTTCTTCATCTTTGTAATCAACGGCTTCGAACAATTTTTGTTCATTGAAACTTGTTTTAGGTCTCAGTTCTTCGTTTACTAAGTTAACTTTGCTTGGATCACTCTGGTTTATCCATGGAAAATCGCTGAAACTCATTACCTGCTGTTTTTTGATTCTTTCATTGAGTTCATTGAAATAAGCAGGATTTATCGATTTGTCGGAATAAATCAATGGAGAAACTTGTTCAATATATGGCTCAAAAGTAGAACTAATGGATACTTGCAATGAATAAAGAACTTGTAATGCATATTCAGTTAATTGAGGATCTCTCAATTTAAGTGTCACGTTTATACAACGAATAATTTCGCCTGAAAATGATTTCAAAGGCATTGATTGAATCATTACTCTCAAAGCGACCAACGCGTGAATTCTAACTTTCTTTAATGTCATTGAGTATGTTACTGCCGATGTCAAGTCCGGGATGATCAAGAAAATGTAGTCATGAGACAATCTTCTCAACGCCAAAATTGAATTTATCACTTTTTCAGAGATTTGATCGTTAGAAGTTCTGTGAGAATGTAAACAATCCAACAACAAAGAAATGCATTGAGGAAGGAAAGGACTGAATCTGTCCAAAAGAACACTCGCCAATGCAGGAATAATAGACAAGATATCATTCAAAGCATCAGTAGTCCATAATTCATAAATCAATGAAATTATTTCATCAGAATAATTCGTTAACCATGCTGCAGGACTTTGAGTACATAATTTCTGCAAATGTTCCAATAAAACAGATTTTCTTGATACACGAATCATATCTATAAACAAAGGAATGAATCTCTTAAACGGTCCATAAAGAGAAGGATCTTTTGTACAAAAAATAAGAACTAAAATTATTGCAACATCATTATGATCTGAACTTAAACTTTGATCATTCAAAACATTCAATAAACTGTTACATGTCACTGTCAAATAATAACTTTGTTTGTTGACATCGATTTCTACATCATCAAACACGTTTTCATTGGTTGTATTCTCATTATTCTTCATCAAACTTGGATCAACAGCTCCCAACAAACCAAGTAATTTCATTATTGCTAAACTCAATGATCTAGAATTGTATTTTTCAGCAATAGAAATTATTTCTGCCGCCAAATTTTGTCTGTCAAAATCTTTTTCATCAGTCAAATGAGGAACAATTGCTGTTATTGTTTCAACAACTGATACTTTAAGTTTCTTATCGGAATATTCATGAAGAATCCTGATTCCGACATTTACCAGTTGTAAAGCATGAGTTTTAATTAAATCAAAATTGACATTTGTGACGGTTTTTATCAAATCTATGAAATTAAGAGAAGTTTCAGTATGACTTATACTTTCGAAATACGTCATTTTCGATGATGGAGGCTGTGAGAAATGAGCTATTATTGTGTTCATCATGTCATCGATGTAGATTGGGAGTAAATCAGTTGCTTTTGCAATGACAGACAGCAATCTCGATGTTTCTGCTCTTAATCTATGACTTCCTGGTGCCTTTAAGATGAACATCGAATTCAATATCAAATGTCTGATGACAGGTTCAACAGTTAACGGTGAAAAATTTGATAAATTAACTAATAAATTCAATGCTGCTTTTTTGACATCGATGTTTTCATCATTTGCAAGTACTTCTAGCCATCTCAATGCAGTAATTGATGACAAATACCTGCACGTTGCTTGGTTGAATGCTTCGATGATGCTCAACCGAGATTTCCATGATTTCTCGCACATGCAACTTGTCAATAATTGGTCGGTCATTTGTGACAAAATTTTCGCATCTAAAAACTGTCCGTGATGGAGATATGCTGCAGGAGCAGCTGCCCTTATGTTGTCGTTGGGATGGACAAGTAACTGTGATAGAATATTCAGTAATTCAGGAGAATTGATCGGATGACATTTCGCTAAAACTTTCAATGCTAAAATGTCAGGTTTTTTAAGTAATTGTAACATTTGCTGGAGGAACTGATGTTTGTAGACACCCCAGAGCTCTGGAATCTTCTTAAATATGCCGGGCATGTATTCTACGTAGTTTGGAGTGATTTGTGCGCTTTGTAAAATTGGAAGAATTTTATTCATCTTTTTAGGAAGGTAAGGATCGTATTTAGGGATCTCATTCATCATGCTGAGCAATATATAGCCTTCGTGTATGTTCGGATTTGATAACATTGCTGCCAAAGTTTTTGTAATATCGGATTTTTTGAAATACTCAGGAAAGAGCTTAATTGCTTCGATGTATGTACTTGCTGTAATCGGAGAAATTGTTTTCATGGTGGAAAGATCCATTAAATTGTTTAGAAAATGAACTAAAAATCTGATTCTGAACATTTCGAGGTTTAGAGGTGCGGCTTTGATTTGGCACCATAGTATGAGTTCGTGGCATTTAAGATTTTTGAATACCGTGTACTTCGAAATTAATAAATTTATTGCTTCGGCTTTGTTTTTAAGATGCGGATAAGAAAACTTGTGATCGAGTATGACTGAAAGGATTCCGAACGCAAGATCTATCTGATTATCTCCTATGCATTCATCTACCGTTGCTAATAACTTATTTATATGATTTGCTTTTGCATCTTCGGTTTTTGATGCTAAATAATGCATAAAATTGTGCACTGAGTCCGTGCAGACTGGCATCAAGTCTAATTTCTTTGTTAAAAGTGTTCTTATGCAATCTAAATACATCGCAAAATCAATCATGATAGTATGAGTGCAATATTTGGAAAGATAATATAGAAAATAAGCGGATGATTGTAAATCTATCGAATCTTTGATTTTCGAGTGACAAATTGTGATTTTTTTACGCGAAAAAGCAGAATCTTCTTGCTTGCATAGCTTTGCTAGTACGAATGTTTGGTATATTTGCACGTTAGATGATTTTTCTGTGTAAAATTTACTAAGATAATTATCAAATTGTTGAATATTTGATGGAAATATCTTATGAATTGCATATATTATCATGATAGACTTTGCTATGAATAATATATCTTGTGATGATGTTGTTTTTTCGAATCTCTCTCGGCATTTTTGACAAAATGCTTCTAATTGTTCGGTAGTGTAATTATTTAAAACACCCCAGAGAGCTTTCTTGTATTCCTTTGACTGAGCTATCATAACACTGAAGTCATTCACACTGCAGTAGTTATCAACAATAGAAATTACATTGTTTTGCATTCCAAAGGAATAAAAAAATTTTTTTTTCATCAATGAGTAGTAGGATATGATGGGTTTTGTGACTTTTTTTGTTACATCTATATATAGACGATGCATTAAAATATATTTATTTATAAACCATTAAAAAAATTAAAGTTATTTTTAAAATAATTTATTTTTTTATTCTTACATAAATGACCCAACAAGTAAAACCAGATAAAATAGATTATCGAATTTTAGAGGATGGTGTTCCTGTTTATATTCAAAGATTTAAAGGGAAGCAATATTATAGAATTGTTAATCCTGAATACATAAAACATTTATTTCAAAAGGAAGACTGTGAATTATTAAACGTTAATGAATATGAAACCAATAAATCAAAATTGAAATATAAATATATTGGAAGTGATGAAAGATGCAAAGATAAAGATAAAGTTTATACAGTTTCATATAATGAATGGAAAACCAATAAGATAAGAAAACATTTAGGAGATTATGGGAAATGTTCTGAATTCTTTAAATCTAGTATATACGAGAGAGTAAAAGAAATTAGAAATAATTATTTTCATGAATAAAAAATAAACTTTAAAAATTCATGTCTTACATTTTTGAATAATTTATTTTTTTAATTCGTAAGAAATGAACAGCTCTAAATTCGTGACTGTGAATCAATTAATGGATAAACTTTCACCAATTCTCACCCAGGTTAAACAAGTAGACGTTTATTTTGATGATTGCGTACAAAGTTTATTTTATAAAGGTAAGTTTAATATTAAACCTATTGCTTTTGCATTTGATGGTAAATTAATCGAAAATTCAAAAATTTGGGAATTAATTCCGGATATTGAATTTATAACAAATATTAAGGATAAATGGTTTAAGCAAAGCCCCCTCACTAAAGTTCTTTGTAGATTAATGATTAAAACTGAGGAAAAAGAATTTAACGGGTTTAAATATCATCCGTGTAAAATTTTAGAACTTGGTAACGAAAAACTTCAGAAAAAATTAAACGATAGACTATCAAAAGATAAAGTTGAAAGAGTAAATAAACTCGCTAAAGGTAATGGTAATGATGAAGAAGAATTTGATGAGTTCAACATAGAACTTTAAGAAACTAATGATTATTTGAATTTATGAAATCAATTATTTGATTCATTCTTTCTTCAATCTCTTCTATTCTTTTTGTTAAATCATCTATTTTCATTAATGAGGTGATTCTTGATTGAGGAATAGATTTCAAACTAACCACTCCTTTTATTTTTGAAATTTTGAATCCATCAACTTTAAACATTTTATTCAATTTACACGTTGTCAATTCTTCAAATAATTTTTTATTATTAGCATAATAGTCATTAAATTCTTCAACAGATGAAAAAATTTTTATTTCAGTAATTGGTTTAACAACGTTTATTTTTGTTGAACATTTTCACTTTCATTTATTTCTTCCTCCTCTGTTTCATTTATTTTTAAAATCGGTTTCATTTATCATTAAATAAAAATTAGAATATAAGTGATGAAATATATTTTTTAATTAATATTAAATCAGAAATGGCGGCAGGATTCTTTATAAAATTATGGGATGGAATTAAGAAAGCTGCGGTTGGGTTTATAAAAAGATTATTAAACCCGTTGCAAACTTTTTGGCACCAGTAGCGAAAACGGCAGGAACTATCATAGGTGGAGTATTAGGTACTAAAGCAGGTAATCCGGCGATGGGAGCACAAGCAGTAACGCAGTTGGTGGAATTGCTGAAGGAATACTTAATAAAATAGGAGGTAGATAGTGGAAAAATAAATATGAGATCCTATGGATCATCTCGCCGCTTAGCGGCTTAAAATTATTTTTATCTTAGTATCGGTTGAAGTCTTTGATAAACTTTTTCTTCTTTATTTAAAACTTCTCTTATTGGGGCAGCTTTTGGCGTTATTGATTCAGCAACGTCACTAATTGCTTCTTTATTCTTAAATATCCAATTTGCCCCCTTCTTCAATGTTTCCCAAACTTTACTCGCTCCTCTTTTTACTTTATCCCACAGTTTCTTAAATATACCTGCAGCCATAGTTGATTATTTCATTAAAATTAAAAATTCATTTTCATCTTTTATTGTTTGAGATAGTATTGAAAAATAACCATTTCGAATTCGTTTGCAAAGGTGGTGCAGTGATATCAAATATAAAAGAAATTTTATTTATGAATTCAAAAATTAAAGGAATAACGGATGATATAACATCAATTCCACCAGAAGAACAGAGATATTACGCATTAAATGCATTTCCTAAAGTTTTGAAGATTGGAAGATTTAATTTAAATGAGGAATTCATAGAAGGTTTCCTAAATGACATAATGAAGAAAGCAGATTTAGTTTATGTTGATGAAAAAGATAATGAAATTAAAGAAAAGGTTGAATGGTATCATGAATGGGCATTGGAGACTTTTAAAGTTAAAGCTGATACAGAATGGGTTTCAGGATTTTAGACTTAAAGCAGATAAAACTTATGTTAACGATGAGTTAATGAAGAAAGCAGATAAAACTTATGTTAACGATGAGTTAGAGAAGAAAGCAGATAAGGAAAAAGTTATTTCATTCATTAATACTGAGTTAGCAAAGAAAGCTGATATATCATTTGTTAATGAAGAAATAAAACAATCAGAGGTCTATTTTACTCCACCATTTTTAAATTTTATGAAATCATCAGATAAAACCTTTGATATAGATTCTTTTGAATGGATATGTTTCGATGGAGTGACCACGTATTTATTTTATACAGCTGGAGTGCTTTATTATTTTAAAACAAATGATTTTAAAAACTATGAATCATTTACTCCATCTGTTTGGAATCCTGATACACGAAAGCCAATCATTAATCCAAGAATTTTATATGTTGAATATAATAACGGTAAATTTATGGGAATGATAACGGTTGGAGATGATTTATGCCCTTGTTATTCCTTCGATTGTATCCAATGGTTCAAATGTAATTTAAATCAAGATGCTAAATTTAAATATCCAAATAATCCTATTAGATGTGTTAATAATAAATGGGTACTAATTTATGAAGTCAATCAAATTTTCATTAGTGAGGATGGGATAAATTATTATATGTTTAGTATGATGTCATCAGATTTGGAAATTGATTATACAAGTAAGTGGTATTACATTAACAGCATGTATTTTATCCTACAGAATGATAAAATTTATAGATCATATTCAATACCACAAGGTCGTTTTGAACAAATTTTTCAAGCTGATGGAGACATTGAAGCTTTATGTTATGCTTCAAATGTTTGTGTTCTTGTTTCAGGTGGTATGGTCTATTCATATCCTGTAAGTTATAACAGACATATTTATTTATCACAGGATTTTTCAGAGGATCCAGAGAAAACACCAAGTTGGGAATTGGTTTATTCATTCACTCCAAAACTTACTCGAAATTATAGATTTACTAATTTATTTTATATTGATGGGTATTTCATTGCTTTTGGATGTGGTGATTTAGTAAATATCAGTAGTGATGGAAGAAATTGGTCTGAAATCACAAAATTTCAAGATGTACGAAAAGCAATTTTCAAAAATAATACGTTAATATTGATAACAAGACCAGTTTTAAATACTCACCCAGTTTCAATATTATATAATAAATTCAATATTCATAATGGATTAAATACAATTCTTGAGATGATTTACCCCATTGGTTCAATATATACATCAATGAATTCAACAAATCCAGCTGATGTATTCGGTTTCGGTACATGGCAACAAATAACCGATCGTTTCCTCTATTGTGCTAATAGTTCAAAACAAACCGGTGGAAGTAAAAAGATTACTGGCGAAAATTTACCTGCTCATAGTCATTATGTTAATTTAAACACTCAAGACTCGGGCTGGCATAGTCATACTTATACTAATTCGTTTGAATATCCTGATGGAAATAATGGATTTCCTGATGGATAGTCTGATAGAGACGCTAGCAGGGGTAAATATTGGTATGGTAATAAAAATAGATGGAATGAAGGATATACTTCAAACGGTTCAGGTACACATTCACATAATGTTTCAGGATATACACAAACGACAGGAAGAGGTACAGATTACATGCCACCTTATATGACGGTTTATGCATGGTTTCGCGTTCAATGAACGCTCAATGTTTGTTTCACAAACTTTAGAACGGCATAATTTAAATTTTTATTTTAGTATAAATGAAGATTCTACCATATGGTGTTATTGGAAGAGATAAAGATGGAAACCCAATATTTGATCCAAAGTTAAAATTAAAGTTACTGACAACAACTTGAAAAGTTGCTGAAACCAAAACAGAATGAAAAAAGAGAAAAATGAGAAAATGAGAAAATGAGAAAATGAGAAAATGAGAAAGAAAAAAATTTAAATTATGCAATTTTATTTTTATCATAAATGACAAAATTAATTAAGCCAACTATTTCTAAATTAATGATACCAATGAAATCATTTCATGGAGTACTTATCCCAGGTTCTTCACAATTAGCCGGGGCAAGTGTTGTGGCTCAAGGTGGAACATTAGCGAATCCATTCAAATTAACTAAAGATGAACTTAATAAAATGATGATAAAATAACTGATAACAAAATTTTATTTTTATATAAATGGATACCCCACAAGCTCAAAATTTACCACGAATCATAACAAGGGAGGAAATGATAAAAATGATGCAAGAACGAATTAAAAACAACAAACCACAAAAACCGAGAAGATGCGGTTATGCAGTAATGATGGAAAGAAGAACCCAGAAGGGTTCGGCGTCTCGAAGAGACGTTGTCGAAGAGGAATAAAAATTAAATTTGGATAGAGTTTAAAAATTCATCTTTATTAAATTCATCTCTTCCAATCAATTTATTTATTCTATTAAATTCTTTTATTTTTGCTTCACTCAGTTTAAGGATTGAACGGTAAGTTTCTAATTTTTCGATTATTTCTTTCCTCTCTTTATCATTCTCAGTTCCTTTAGTTTTATGGGCATCAGCCCCGCCGCATTGCGGCTTCTTTTTGTAATAGCATATTTTTGATTTAATTCTGTTTAGTTTCTTTTTATATTCATTGTCTGGACTCTGAATCTTAATTGAATCAGGACTCTTGGCTGCTTTGTTGTCACTCATTTCTTACGAAATAAAAAAATTAAATATTATTTAAATATAATGGAGTAATAAAATAAATCGGAATTTCTATTAATTTATTGTCAACTTCAACTAATGCATTGCCGTTAATATATCTAACAAATTCAGCTATTGTGTCAAATCTTCGTCTTCTTTTTGTCATTGATTTATCAGTTTTTCCATAATCGAGATGAATCAAAACTTTATCCCCTTGTTTAAAATTCATGAGCCCCGAATTAATTTGTTCACGTTTAACATCATTTAACCTTTCCATTTGCTTTCTAATATATTCCCATTCTTTTGAAATATCATTTTTCATTTCCACTGGTTTCATGTTTATAGTTCTATGCCATGTATTATTGTAATAATATACTAACTGCTGTATGATGGAGTCATGATTTCCATCCCAGTATATCTGACCGTTAACCCCTAACGCATCTCTAAGAGTTCTCATTACCGCATCAACTATTTTATTATGAAACGTATATGGAGATGAGAAGTAAAAATTAATTTGTGGGAAATAATGAGCCATAGCTGCCTGAAATCCTTTATCACCATCACCCCTTATATTATCTACTCTTTCATGATCTAGTAAGTATTATATAGCTCTTCTTGTTTCCTGTTCTGTTTTCCCTTTCAACCGGAATGCAATATAAATATCTAGTGTTAATGTTAATGGCGAATAAATAAGTAACGTTTCCTTTTGAATATTCCAGATGATCGATTTCGTATGAATATGGATATGGTGCAAATGAAGGGCGACTAATTTTTCCTTTAACGGTTGAATTTTCGGGTCAATTGGTTTATTTAATATCTTGAAATCCTTTTTAAAATCTTTTTGCTTCTTTAATGTTTGAAATGGATATAATAAAGTGAATGATGAAGGATTAACTGAAGGAGGAGGTACTACCGTTGGAGTTTTGGTATTGCAAGTGGTTTAATTTTATCTGCTTTGATTTTGGATGATGAAGTTTTAGTTGTTGATTTTCCTTTCATTAATTCTGGATGTATTCTATTCATTTGTTTTAAATATGCTGTATATAAAGGTTTGATATAACTTTCCCGCTTCGAGTTTATGTTGAAGGATGAATTCCAAAAGTTGAATCTTCATTTAAAAGTCGGGCTGAATATGGTTTTAACTAATGAATCATAAATTAAAGCTTGTGCTTCATTTATGGTCTGAAGGACCTGGGCGTTTTTGCACCTTTAGCTGTTGAACATTTGCTACTTTCTCTTTGTGTGTTGTTTTTCGGCTTTTTCTTCTTTTGTTTTTGTTCCTTTGGCTTTTGCGGCTCAGGATTATATAATTTATATAATTCATCAATATCTTCTTCTGTTAATACTTTATTTTTGAAATCTTTCAACTGTTTAAGTTGTGATTTAGTTTTTCCCTTTGTATATTCATTATTTTTAATTTGTCTTTAATTTCAGAAATTATTTTATTCATGATATTTCAAAATTTCATTTTTATAATATGGATAAATAATAATCATATCATCACCTGTTATATTTTATTATGTTTTTGGAGATATGATTTTAATTCATAATAATTAAGAAAATTTTGATTAAGTACTAAATCATCAATTAAATTTTCTAAATCTGCGTTATCCATTTATATAAAAATAAAATAAATGTTTTAAGGGTGCCCACCTCTTTGAATCATAGTATCAAAACCATTATTTACATATTGAATCGCATCATTAACGGTTCCTCCTTCTAAAACGGTATCAAATAGTGGAGTCCAGATTTCCTGATGATGATCATAAAATCCAGCAAAATTAACCGTATTATTAGGTAAAATATGAATCTCAGCGGTATATCTTCTATCTAAATTTGGATGCCTTATATGTATACCATTACTGCCCCGGATAAAATCTCAAACCTTGATTTTGTTGACGCATCAAATTATTGAAATTTCTTTCTTCAGGGGTGAATGTTCTTCTCCGTTGATGCTGTGGTGGTGGTGGTTGTTGTTGTTGCTGCTGTTGATGGTGTGGTGGGATTTGAAAAATTCGTTGCGGTTGATTATTTGGAATCTGAAAGTTAAAACCATTTGGTATAAATCGATTTGGTTCCTTTTGTCTCTTCTGTGGCATTTTATTAAAAATAAAATTTTAAATTCATGACTCAACCCCTACGTTTTTAAATTGTATTAAATAAATGGCATACAACATCCATTTTCACAACATACAGCCTTAGTGTGTGCTCCTGTTAATGCAGTCTTACCGATTGTTAAGCGAGTCATTGACCCATTTTTAAGTTGTAAATTAATATTCTGACCATCAAATATCACTTTATCATTTATTATATTCAAATAATTTTTAGGTGTTAATTGTTTATTTTGTCTTAAACTAACACCCTTCATTTTTTGTGCAATCTTTTTAAAATCACTTCCATCAATTGAACCGTTGAATGATGTATAACACTTAGGACATAAAGCAACCATGTTATCACCTTGTTTCTCAATTGCTAAACCCAATAACTTCTTCTCATGTGCTTTTTCTTCAGCTTTATTCTTAATTTAGGTTTAAATTTCTCATCACAAAACAGAAGAAAATCAAATGGTGCGAATTTGAAAATGTTTTTATCATAAAATTGTTTATCGGTAACAATTGCTTGAAATGCTTGAGTGTTAGGAAGATTTGGGTCGCCAGCGATTGCCCAATAGAGATGAATCAGTATCACCTTCAATGAAATGAAAACAATTAACATTCATGCATTTATACATAAAATCATAAATGAAAACTAAATACCAGTATTTTGCGTTATCTAAAGTAAAAAATGCCTCTTGTAAACATGTATCACATCTATAAAATCTATCTTTAAGCATCACTTGATATGTATCTTCACCTATTTCTCTTATGTTTTTAAACTTATTTGACATACATGCAACGCGTGCCTTCTGTGCATTCATTATTTTAGTCTTTGCGTAATTTTGTGTATTCATTGCATCGTAACCATATGATCCATTAAGTGAAATCTTGCAAAATAAACTTTTTCCTTTATTTCCTTCTAATTCAGCCTTTTGTCTTTCGTTCATAAATTTGTTCGCAAATTCATTAAAACAAGTGTTTTTAGTAAATGTTAAAATTGATGAATGTCATCAATGATAAAATGAAATCTGTCTATTAGATACCAAAGATAATAAGAAGAAAATGGTTGATATTGGTTGTATGTTGATGCTAACTGAGTTAATTTCCTCTGTTTCTGGTCAACTGGTAGATTGTTTGATTTCATGTAATTATACATAAAACTGCCAATTGTTTTTTCATCTGTGATAATATCTAAGTTTCTTATTATCGGTAAAAAGTTTATGTAATCATTAATGTATTTTTCATCAATGTGACCCTTTACTTCAGCCACAAATAAAGTATTTTTCTTCTTAATTATTCCCAGTGCTTTTGCTTTCTTTGTTGCTGTATCACAAATGATAACACCATTCAATCTTCCCGGCATATACATTTTATGGTCAGTATATTGAATGAAATCATGAGGATTAGATGAAAATGATGAAGGATATAATGAATTAAAATCAACACCAACGAAATGAGTCATGATGTTGGTGGTGTCCTCATTTGATACAGTTTTAGTTTCTGGACTATATGAAAGTTTATTAATGTGCGTGATTCCTTTAAGATTTACTCTATGTTGAACATTTGATAAACCACCAGTAATTCCATTACGGAGAATGTGATAAGCTTCAACTGAATCTAAAGTCATTGGTAAATTATTTTTAATGCATAATTTCTTAAATTGATTCTTAAACGTTGAACATCTTCATCTTTATTTGATTTTACGACATTGCAATAACAACACATTAACTGACAATTTTCTTTGGTATGTGGTTTTTCATTATCGATTCTATCCAATGTTGGTTTATTTGCATATGTAAACGCTTTACCACACATTTTGCATTTAGATGAAAGGATTAAATCGTGATAGTATTGAAAATCATCCATTGAAACATTATTTTTAGTATCTCTTTCTGCTTTTTCATCTTGTTTCTTATATGATTCAATTTTTATTTCCAATACTTTTTCGTTAATTCAAAACTTGATTCTATCTCTTCCTCAGGATATTTTTCATTAGGATTAAAGTCTTTATATGCTAAAGCGTAACGAATCATTGAAGCATTCGATGATAAGAAAGATTATGAAGCATATCAATTTTATAAACAAATGTTTCTTCAATAATTTTATCGATTGGGTCAATCATAATTTCAACATCTTTATTGCAATAATGAATAAAATATTCTAATCTATTCTTAAAATTTTTAGCATCATTGAGATATATTTGATAATCACTATCTGATATAGTTTCTTGAGTTAATGCTGAATAAAATGAATCTTTCGTGAATGGTTCCACTTTATATAATTCTTCTTCGGAATTTCCCATGTGATAAATTGATAAGGGAAAAAGGATTTAACACGTGATTTATTGTTCCGAAATCTTGAGTGAATTGGTCTAATGTCCCACCCGCTATATAATTTCTTGATGTCAATAAATCTCAATTCATATGGAACGTTTGTTTTCTTTACAATGATTTGCTTAAATTGTGAAGATGAACCCAGCATTGATTTTATTTTCCATTTTGCAGTGTTTAAATCACGAAGAATTAAATTTAAATCAAACTTTCCCGAATTAAAACCTATGATATTCACTTTATTGAATTCCTCATCTAGAAGTTCTTTAAATGCTTCCTTCTGTTTTTCATTTAATGTATGAGACAAAGTCCCCGCCGTTTGCGGCTTCATTAATTCATTGTATTGACTCATATTTGATTCAACAACTAATGAACAGGTTGAAAATAAAAACTCAATCCAATCAGAAATAAAAGAATCACTCGAAGTTAAGCAAAAATTCCTCGTATACGTTTTATCATTTAATTTAACCGTTGATGAATGGTTTTAAGTAAGCGTTCAAAGTTGCACACTCAGAAAGTTGTAATTCTTCTTTAGTCTCTAATGTTTCGAAGTCAAAAGTAATATAATATCTTTGTCGGTTGATAATATTCCTGCAAATTGTGAGCTAATAACCACTGATATATCTTCTGTTTCGTAATATGTGGTGCATATGGTTGCTGTGTCTTTTGCAACTGAACGTCTTGAATTAATCTTCCATTATTTTCTTTACATTTCTCACAATGCTTTAAAAATCTTCTTTGGTTTTTCCTTTCTGGATCATCACGGATAGAATAAACTTCTTCTTTACAATATGGACAAACTTTATAGCCGGTGAGTGCTTCAACGTCTGTTATTCTGTCAGCGTGAAGTTTTCCACATGGACTCTGTGTTAATAAAATATTTATTGTTTCAAATTCTGGATCTATCATTATTGAATCCACTAATGGAAAGTCTACCTTATTTATGTCCACGTCTTCTGGTTGAGGATCACAATAATAGAAATCAATATTAACATTTAACATTCTCGCTAATCTCTCACTTTCTGATGAAATGTCAAACCCTTCATATGAATCTATTGCTTCATTTAAATAACTTCTACGAGTTTTAGGATTAACACCATCAGGAATGTTATAGAAGCGTTTAAATAACCTTCTACCTTCTGCTCTAATTTGATTATCATTCATTTTAGCTGTTCCGTTTTTGTTCATTTATGTAAGAATAAAAAATTAAAAAATAAATAAAAATAAAGTTATTTTTTAAAGCCCATAAAATGAATTAAGAACACATAAATTTTTATCATCTGCGACGTGACGAATACATTTTAATTTACTCAAGAATGCGTACCCTGATACATTAAATCTAATTCCTGTCTTATTTAATTTCACAACTTTGAAAAGGAATGTATGAATAGCTAAAAAGATGAGAGAAGATGTTTTATGGGTTGCTTCCATTTTTTCTGAAATAAATGAATAAATATAATGTTTATAAGTTTTCATATCTTTTATGTTCTTAATAACGAATGGTATAGACCTTTCAACTTCGTCTTCCTTTGGTGCTGTTCTTTCATATGAAACATTATTAGTATCTTCAACAATGAAACCACAATCACACAAAATTTTATAGGTTCCAATGGTTTCTTTTGATATTTTATCTAATAAATCAAAAACTTTATCAACACCTGTGCATTTATTTAAATAATAATTTGTGTAAATATCATGATCTTCTTTCTTAATCGTATTAGTTGCATATGTTACATTTTTCAGTGCTTTTTTGAATTTTTCAGAATCTAAAGGTGGTGAAAATAAGATACAGGGGTATTCTTCATTATCAATAAATTGTAACTTATGTTTACGAATAAATTTAGTACCTTCTTCTGAAAGTGTTTCGTCTATTTCACCATCTAATAAATTTTGTGTTGATTCTGAGACATAATTTTTATATCTTTCTTCATGAGATTTCTGTACTTCTGATTCTGAAGCTGGGATATTCATTAAACCCTCTACTTCATTTTCATTATATAGGGTGTCCAAAGGTGCGTTTAGCACAGCGCTCTATATGAGACTATTAAAGGAGATATATGCTGATTATAAATATATAATAAAAAATATGAATATATGTATATGATGAGTATGTTGTATTTTGGCGCCATGCCGGGATATAAAATGAATTTTGAGACAAGAGGCGGTTTCGCGGGAAATTTTGGCGGGATTTTTTTCATTTTTTTAATGAATCATAAAGAAAACATCCTCGCTCTTGCAAAAAAATGCAAAGACTGTAAAAAAATCTACGAGACATTGGTAAAATGCATCGGTATGGATGCTCCTAGCTATTCCACTGTAACGTATCATGTTAGGATGTATCACTTCATGAACAAAAAGGCGCCCATCATAAAAATTGACAAAAAATCGCCGGATCAAAGAAAAATCAAAGCAATTCTTCAAGCGCTAGATGAAGACCCAAGAGCATCACTCAGAAGGATAGAGGAGATGACAAAGATACCACGTACAACAGTCAGTTATTATCTGCACAATTATTTGAACTACAAACTAGCGTATACACGTTGGGTTCCGCACAACCTTAATTCAGTTCAAAAAAAATCTAGAGTCCAATCTTCGAAAGAGCTCCTCTCTATATTGGGTGCGTATCAATCCAAGAAGTTTCGCTTTTTAGTAACCGGGGACGAGTCTTGGTTT